TTTGACGGAAGCAAAAGATTTCTCATAGTCCACATACGCAAGGCAAAGTGGCAGATTGTACTCTTCGGTCTTTTGTACAATTTGCCGCAAAGTATGTATGTTATCTATGGTACTGACGCCTTTTCGGAAACCAGCTTGTTCGGGATGCTGGAAGTCATCAAGTCTGCGTGCAAGACGATTCGTAATGACTCTCGAAAACAGCACGTAGACGCGGCTCAGAACGAAAATCGTTCTGTAGTTCTTCATGAGAGCGTTGTCGCCTTTCTTGAAGAACAAGACTACGCAATTCTGCTCTGACGACCGGGATATCATCGGAAGTGTCGGATAAGACTTGCTCTTGGATCGTTACTCACACATGTGTGCGACGATGTGTCATGTGTGTATGATGTATACAGCTGCCCATAGAACCTCTCAATCTCATTCGAAATCCCAGGTGTCCCGGAAACGATGCTGCCACACTCGGTCTTCAGCTTTGACAGTTGGCTCTTTCTGGCAGATAGATCTCTCGCTAAGACTTTGGCGCCTTGGTTCCGCTCGATCGTTTCTTCAATACGAGCTATATTAATGTTGCGTAAATCCCGCCGCATGCATTTGGAGTCTGTCTGTTCAGTTGCCTGTACGCTGTCAAATCTGCTGAAGACTGCAGCTTCATTTACCGTCCAACAGCCATGAGATTAAGAGTGTGGTCGGAGAGTTTTTGTGTTATTCTTCGGCGAGTCTTGCAGAACTTAGCTCCGACCGCATGGACAGTTTCCACGTGCTGATCATTTATATCGTCCACTGCATTGCAGTCTTCTAGGCACAGGAATTGGTTTTGTAACTCGAGCTGAAAGGTTTCGGGATGGAGCGTTGACTTCATTAGACGAAACCTCTCCAACTTAACGTTTACGTTTATTTAGTGCTTCTAAGCACTCGGTGATCGCTGCCAGTTTTCACCCTTGCGATCACTGAGACATCACTGAACAGTTGCCATCTAGTCTTTATAATGAAGTCAACTCATTTATTGTTAAACCGTCGGGGCTCGACCAGTTCCGTTTGGGTTCCGTTGCCCTATCCCAAATTTCCCTACCTTTAACTAATCTTTCTCTCTTGTGCCTAATTTTGCGTTGACAACCGAACCTCCACCGGACATTCTTAGCACCCCCTGCCCCGCTGTTACCATGGTAGCCACCATAGCCACGAACAGAGGGGCCGCCGGGGCCTGGTGGCCATCTCTTCATAGATACACAAACTTTCATAGACACGTAACTCTCATCATGAGGATGTATTGCCATAGTTGCCACGCTCGGTGATTGGATTGGCAACCGCAGTTTTTTTTGTACTATTGCTGTTATCAGGGAAATGTTTTCTGTTTTCCTCTGTCGCTTCTTACGACACCCACGGGAAGATACGGGGGTAGTGGATAATCTTATCCGGCACTACATGGTATAATATGTGTAATTTGTGCGGCCAAGTATCTAATTAGTCCTATTAGTCACATCTTAACAAGCAATACAAAAAAAAAATTACGCTGTCACGCGGACGCAGACTCATTAAACCCTGAATTACACCAGGTTTACTTAAATTTATGCGACAAAGGAACAAGCTGTACAAGAAATATCGCAAAAATAGTAACAATTAAATCTTAAAATATCACATAAAAGGTAACGCAACTCTTGTAATTCTCTTTTGCGAAATGCAAAGAAAGAATATCAAAAACTTGCATTTAAAAAATTCAAAGAGAATATGGGATGTCACCAGTAATATCTCACACCTAACTAGTAAAGAATTCACACTCAATTCCAACTGATCTTTTAAACGAAACTGATCCGTCCCCAAAATCAAATTAACACTTATTTCGCAGGTGTGGAAAGGCAACTTGCAGAAAAGATAAATTAATTTGTACCAAAAGATTTAAACTGCGCGCAACGGGCAACCTTTGTACTACTCGAGACTGACGTTACAGAAGTAAAGTGATTGATTATGTCTGTAAAGCAATTGTGCTACTGGATGGGATGGTATTTCTTCTAACTTTCTAAAGAAACACAAAGATATCTCCCTCCACTCACTCAAATTTGCAATTTAAGTCTCACTACCGGTATGCTTCCTAAAACGTTTAAGATAGCACTTTTACACCCAGTTTTTAAGTCAGGTGATCGGAAATATGTCGAAAACTATTAGTCAATTTCAGTGTTATCCGCAACGTTTAAGGTACTTGAGAAAATTCTAAACTCAAGACTAATCAAATATTTGGAATCCAGTAAAATTTTATCTGTTAAACAATTTAGTTTCCGAAAGAAATTTTCCACTGATGATACTCATTTCTCGACCTTGCTAAAGCTTTCGACACAGTTTCGATCCCTGTCTTGATTAATTGTCTTGATTGATGGAACCCGCTATCCCTTTTTCACAGTTATCTTACAAATACGGTTTGGTGTGAAAAGTGGCTAATACCTGAGTTCATCACAATCTATGGTGTACCACAGGATAGTATCCTTCGTCCGACCAAATTTTTTTGTATATATTAACGATTTGTGTTATCTATGCCTAGAAGCTGATTCCATATAGTCTTATGCTGATAATACAGCTCTTGTTTTTTCGGCCAGTACTTGGAGTGAAACATACCAACGAGCGCAAAAAGGATTTGATATTGTCAGAAAATAGCTCAACAATCACCTAATAACACAAAATTTAACCAAAAATTAAGTCCTAAATTTTTCTTAACAGTTCTCAATCATTAGCCAATTCACTTAATATAATACAAAAGTTACTTCTATTAAGTACCGTGGCATATTAATTGATAGTAATTTAACATTTAAAGAGTATATTGAACACTTATCTGCTAGAGTGCGAAAATTAATTTACATTTTTAAAGACCTTCGATATTCTGCCGACACATATGTTATGAAAATGATTTACTATGGTCTTTGCCAATTGGCAATAGTGCTCTTGTGCCTGCTCGTTCATTTTAAATATAACTCCGTACATTTCACAGTGAACTTGTTCATTCTATTAGTTCTATTCGGTCGTCAGTACCACTGAGCAGTTTAAACTATATCTATCATATCTGTATGGAATGTTTATCTCAGTCAATCGGGCTCAGCCAGTCGATATCTGCTCGAGTCGTAATATTGTTTGATTACTCGTACACACACACTTTATAATTTCTTGGTCAAAATAAAAGTCTAAAGCAAATTAGTGTTAAAAACTAATTAGCGTTAGTGAAATAAAATCTCATATCCATAGCATGCGAAAATTAAAAGCATCCAAGGACACTACGAGTAATAAAACAATAATAAAAACACACATAAAACACTCCTCCATCTTTATAATAACATAACTTCAACTTTAATCTTTTACAAATCCACAGCTCAGTTTGTCTGTATGACGGCAAACAAATGTGAAGACAAAATTTGAATAGGAAAGTATTTTTCGCATTCGTTTCCGTCTCGCGTTAGGTTCCTCACCGAAGTACGGAATCAGGTAATGCATGGAATGGTGTTATGTCCTTCCTTATTTGATTGTTTAATTCGAATCGATGTGTTTACGACATTATTACAGGTGTAAAATTTTAGATTTATCCAAAACTGTCCAGCAATTAAGCGCTAGTCCATGAAGGTTAGAGAACAGGAGAACGATCACTACGTACTAAAGCATAGCCCGCCTGTCCTTGAAAATTGTAGAATTTATTTAAAAGATGGTGTGTGTTTTTTCTTTTTTTCTTCTTGTTTGGTTCACTCGATGAAAGCGCAAGTAAGATTTTGATCTCTTTTTCTTACATCGACGTAGCATCAATGTCGAATAGTATGTGATGTGATCAACAAGCGACCTAACACGGGGCTATTATGCAGTCTACTGCTTCACCATGACAATGCTCAAGACGGGGGATTTCGTGGACAGCACACTGATTAAGCTTTTTGGTCACACTTCTAAGTCACAGCTAAGATTTGGCACGATGTAACTTCCTTTTATTTCCTAAAATAAAAAATAAATCAGCTGAAAGGTACACAGTTTTCATTCTGCGCGCGACTGGAAAATTGGTACATGACGCATGAAATTTTGTATAGATGCTAGTGGAGCTTTTCATTCATCATTATTACATCCGATCAAGGTCCATTGTCGAACGTACTCCTCCCCCATAATGGATATTCTTTCACCGCCACTACACGCAGATTTTTTAAAGATTATCTTTTATAGAATAAGGGTGACAAACGTGCATAAGTCACTGATGGTAAATTAATGCTGTGGCCGACATCTACATTTATCCTCAGTTTAGAATCAAAGTGCAGATGCGTTGTCAACCCTGAGGACTAAGATAGAATGCCTCTTTTCCAGTAAAAAGGGTCTCCGGTTCTCTACACTCACCATACGCAACACAGCTGCGTTGAGCTGCTATTTTAAGCTTATTTTGTGAGAGCGTGCTCCTTCCCTGGTCGAGCCTACCCATTCGTGTTACACACATAATATAGCTGCAGCATGGCTCTACCACAAATTTAACCATAAAACGTTTTTTTTTTAAATTTTGTAAAACTTTCTTAGTGGCTCACTTACATATAATACCACGTTTGGTAACTAATATTATGTATTCCATTAGAGGATTGTATTAAAAACGATACATAAAAATTATTATTGTCTTGAATTTTTCTAAATGTAAACTCTTGTGAATGCCAAGAAGTTAAAAAATAAGACTGTTATAGATACAGCGGGACTCGTTTAGTTTATTTTAAATATTTTCATAGTGTGAAGTCCTATATAGACTAACCTATATAGGACTCATTGTTGTAGGGATCGGCACCTATACTGCAACAATATTCTTGTCATAGGTATAGGAAATAAGACCAATGGACGCAATTAAAGATCTTATTAAAATAATAAATATCCTAACAGCTGCTTCACAGTTCATACGCGATAATGTTTTTTATGCTATAAACTATATAGATATCTTAAAATGATGATCATAGAAACTTTCATAATATTCGGAATGGAAGGACGTGTATACTAGGATTTTCTGTTTGACTTACTTATCTTTCTTTTCCTTTTTGTCCTTCTTCTTCTTAGGCTTGTGTGCATGCTCGTGTTCGTCGCCGCTGCTGGGTGCACTGCGTTTAGATTTCTTGCCCTTGTGCCGAGACGGTTCTTCCTCAGATATGCCGCCCTCTTCCGGCGAAGGCGATTTCTAAGGAAAATATTTTAATGATATAACTTTGATCTGTTATGTTTCTCTTTCCTTCCCGGACCTTGATACCGAGTAAACGTTTCCAAATCTATGCTGCTTTTTCTTTTATAATAATAAATTCATAATTATAAAAAATAGTTACTTTGCAACCATCCGCTGAATCAAATCAAATGATGCGTCTTACCTAGTTTGAAGAGCACCTCCCGCCCTCCCTCAATTGCGTGCACTAATCCCGTCATCACTAATCCCAGCACCACTACTCCCAACACCACGACTCCCGGCACCACTACTACCAACACCACTATTCCAGGAAAGACACACCATCGACGATAATACGACACGTGTTTTCGAGCCACGAGTTCACGAGGCATCTTCAGGTGATGTGGACTCTACGGCGGCTGACCGCTATAGCGGTTGCAAAGTAACTATTAATATCTTTATTATAATGGATTTCCGCAACGTAACGCCTGTTTCCATCAATTCATAATTGAATATAAGTCAAAATAAAAATTACGAGTTGCACCAACAGTTACTTCCGTGTGGCTAGCTAATGTCCTAGCTACATGTTTTGCTTGTATAAAACGGAGAGATCGGCCGCCGTTAAGGCAGCCATGGCTCTCGCGTGGCATGGTGCACTTGTTGTATTCCACTAGCAGCTCATCCTCGACTCATCGGATAATTAATTCGTGGAAACTAATTAATTATTATTCTTAGCTACTAAATCACTCTCATTACCATTTATTAGTTGATTATCTGTGATATGCGTATTTCATAATTGTAAAGTACTATATTGTAAATTAATTCTATTTAAAAGAAATGTCCTGCAAGTAACCCATACTTGCTGGTTCTTCCCAGGACAGAGGTTTTCTCCGAACCAGTGGTCGTAGTACTATATTGAATAGAAATTATTCTAGTCTAAAGCCTTTCCATGTAACCCCACACATATATCTTTCTACATCAGAAATGGGATTAAAGCTTTCACAGTAACCCTACATATATTATAATCATCGTCCTATAAATACCGTCATTTGTTAGTATTACTTAGTATTACCTACTTAAAGTACGCGACAGAAAATAAGCTCCAAACGCACGCTCTGTTCTATTTTCAACACCATTTAGAGACCATCTTGGAGTTTGTAAATAATATTGAAAGACCTGGTGATTTTGATTACTTACATGTTCCTGGTATTACAATAAGTGCATCACGCCAATGAATCGTACATCACCGAAGATTTTAAGCGATTATAACTCTTCAGTTGCAATGCATCTTATTGAGTCTGAGCTAAATATCTTCACGCAAAGTGAGCCGTTATCCTTAGCAAATTTAATTCAACGTAAACACAAGCGTGAGAAAAAACTGCAAGAATTTAAAAACCAAGTTATGGAGCTGTTTTCATCTTGAAAATTAGGACATGATTTTAAATTAAAGACTATTTTATCAGCAATAGAAGAAAGGGCGAATAATCCCAAATTCGTAATTCTTTAGATTGTCACAAAAATATTATGACCTTGTAGAAAATCTTCTCTACAATGGGAGAAGCGCATGTACTGTGGTGAACTTTTACGGGCTAATAAAAAGTAAAGTAAAGTTACAGCCTATATACGTCACACACCAATTCGCATGTGTCCTCGAAATATTGTTTTTCTCTTATTTCTCGTTTCCTCACGATGTTTTCCTTCACCGCCGAGCACGTGGTAAATCAGCACTTAAAATTGGCAATTATCAAATTTCATTGGTGTCGGCGGGGATCGAACCCGGGTTATTCGCGTTCTGTTATATTTACGGCGAGCGTTAACCATCTGAGCTACCACGGCTTTTACGGGCTAATAATGAAAGATAAATAGAAAGAAGATGCTGCTTTGTAATAAATTGCACGATAAAGTTAGAAAAATAAATTGAACTAATATGTACTACATACTGTGAGAGACGCCGAGACTTGGTTTGCAATACACGTTGGAGTCCACGGCGTAGACATAGAAATCTATAGACAAATTGACGCCTTCTTTCGCATTCGCACACGAAAAAGATAGATTTATGCATGCGTCTTGCATAGAAATGAGACGGAGCGGTGTGATTGTTTGTCCCTTTCTCCGTGCCGGTTTTTTTGTTTAGCAAACCACACTTTGCTAAACAACTTTGACAGTTCATAGCGATCTAAGGAGTTTACAAGTTGGTTTAAGCGAGAAAAAAAGTATTTTGTGAGCTTAAGATTGGTGAATCATGTTCAGTTCAGTACTTAGAACAATTAAAAACAATTATCTAAATATGTTTAAAAGTCATAAAGTTTATTGTATAACCTAAAATTATGTTATCGTCATTTCTCACTCGAGGCCACGCCAATCATTAGTCTCTAGGTTTCTCTGTCTACGGCCCACGGGCTCAAACTTACTTAGTTTGTGCCACAAAAACGTAGTATGTGCCTCCGTCCACACCGCCGCACATATTTTGTTTACGGTGTCTGTTCGAATACGTAGTACATATTGTTTAAATATTATATAGCTGATATACAGTGTGTCGTACCGGCGGCGGGTCGTGCTTGCGGTGCTTCTTCTTGGGCCTGCGGTGGCGACGCTCGTCCGAGCTCCAGCTGGCGCTGTCCGGCGACGCGGACCGCGACGCGGAACCCGACCGCGACTTCTCCACCACAAATAGTACACAACAATACAACTCTCCGAATACCAGCCAGCTCCAATTATATACAGAGGGCCCACATAACAGCATCATGGCTGCCAGTACAGAGACTAGACACCTGCGCAGCATTATAGTATACGTGTGTACTGTAATCCTGCGCAGATGGTTAGTCTGGTACTGAGAATTTTTTGATAAGAAAATCCAATACATAACTGGTTTTGTCTTGACTCGGGAGCACATAATAGTCGCTCTAACGACTGCTAGGCCAACAAGACAATAGAGCAGTTAATTAGGTACATCATATACCTGTATCCTGTATCCTGGATTCGAATCCCGGGTCGTGCCAAAAATTAATTATTGAGTTTTTCCGTCCACCGTAACCACCGTTTATTTATTTCAGTTTTCCTTAAAAATACTAGCAATGCTATTAACACATTGAATCAATTCAAATATTCAATTATTGAGTTTTTCCGTCAAGAAATTCTCAGTAGTTCCCCGGAGTCACGAATTTGGCGGTGTCTTACCTGGCTGGTAAAGCCGTTGGTCCTGCGCCTGATCTCTCTCCGGTCGTGTCGGTTTACTGTCCCATCGGATTATGAGAGTGAGGGAATAGAGAGTGCACCTGTGCTTGCGCATACACTTGGGCACTATAATCCTGTCCTGCGCCGATGGCTAGTCTCCGTTGGGGTTGGCCGCCGTGACCGAAATTCGGTCTGGAGCACATTATTATTATTATTATTACATCATATACCATCTATATACATATTATTTAGTAGCCAAAGTGCTCGAGAAACTGTGACTGTATGAAACTGCCTGCAAAATATTTTTATTTATTCATTCTAAATGACGCATTGCACTAATGTGCTGAGCAAGCTTTCTGTACTTATTTTTGAGAGTGACGTAGAATATTAAGAACAGAAGGCATATCACATAGCATATCAGACGGAAAACGTGCATTTATATGACTGTGAAATAAATTGATGACATGTTTGCACCACATGTACGCCTACTAGCGTATTTAGCAGTTCTTTTTTTAACAGACTTCAGAAGGGAAAGTTATCAATATAGCTTATTATTTTTAATTGTTATATCCGCCGTACAGGTGTATATGAGGACTGTGTAGAATGGCATGCCAGGCTAGGAGAAACCGGTGTGTGCAAAATTGCTTCCATGTTCCGGTCGATATGCAGCCAAAGTGGAACACCATCAGGTTTTAGTTGGCGCAAGTTCGATCTAACACATCCTTACCCCAGTGAGTCGGATATATTAAGTAACTTACGCTTCTCTTATATAAGCAAGGGCAGCCCTAAATTTTTATGAAGTACCACCCTATTTCTGTCGAATTAATAATTATTTTGGTGATTATGTGACTTACCGCGAAATATATTTGAAAACATGAATGAGAAGGCTGCTGGTTACAATGAAGGTATTGTGGGGGGATACAGGAATCATAGTTATAAAATTAGGCTCCAACTTCTGCCAAATGGTATAAAGGTAAACATGCTTGGCAAGCACATGGGACATGGAAGAATCATTGCATATAGATGTCCTACATCTATGATGCTGCTCCTCGAGTAGACCACACTCTTACTCATACTCTTACGTCTGGTACATTATGGATGTTTATGGTGACATCTATTGAAAGCCAAATATAACCCAATAATTTCATTAATCAACTCTCTCGAAACACAAGTGTCAAAAGAAAAATACGGAGAAAGGAATTTATTTTTACTATGCTGATACGCACTTTAAGATGGGATTTAAAAATTATTTTTTTAAAAGTAAAGTCAGCTTATATACGTCCAATTGCTAGGCTAAACACCTTGTTATTTACGAGAGGGTTTTAGGGAAAGAAAGTGTTATCAACACTACCCCCAATGCAAGTTGATGGACTTTACGTCTTTGAAATATTTTCTCATTTCTCGGACATGCAGGTTGTTTCAGGATGTTATCCGTCACCGCGGACCATGTGGCTAATCAGCGCTTTAAAATGCAATTAACAATTTCATTGTTACTGGCGGGAATCAAACCGGGGTTTTTTGTGTATGTGTACTGTGAAATTTACTACGTGCACTTATGATCAATAATGTCTCCTTATAAACATTCTACAGATTATAATGAACATAAGAAAGTTACCAAAGATGTGTACTGTGAAATTTACTACGTGCACTTATGATCATTAATGTCTCCTTATAAACATTCTACAGATTATAATGAACATAAGAAAGTTACCAAAGATGTGTACTGTGAAATTTACTACGTGCACTTATGATCATTAATGTCTCCTTATAAACATTCTACAGATTATAATGAACATAAGAAAGTTACCAAAGATGTGTACTGTGAAATTTACTACGTGCACTTATGATCAATAATGTCTCCTTATAAACATTCTACAGATTATAATGAACATAAGAAAGTTACCAAAGATGTGTACTGTGAAATTTACTACGTGAACTTATGATCATTAATGTCTCCTTATAAACATTCTACAGATTATAATGAACATAAGAAAGTCACCAAAGATGTGTACTGTGAAATTTACTATGTGCACTTATGATCATTAATGTCTCCTTATAAACATTCTACAGATTATAATGAACATAAGAAAGTCACCAAAGATGTGTACTGTGAAATTTACTACGTGCACTTATGATCATTAATGTCTCCTTATAAACATTCTACAGATTATAATGAACATAAGAAAGTCACCAAAGATGTGTACTGTGAAATTTACTACATGCACTTATGATCATTAATGTCTCCTTATAAACATTCTACAGATTATAATGAACATAAGAAAGTCACCAAAGATGTGTACTGTGAAATTTACTACGTGCACTTATGATCATTAATGTCTCCTTATAAACATTCTACAGATTATAATGAACATAAGAAAGTTACCAAAGATGCTGAACGCGTGCGTTTCTTTTTCTTAGATTTCTTGGATTTGCACGCTTTTGGATGATGGTAGTGCATACAGCTTTCCTCCTGTTCATGCTGGAAGTCCTGAAACATTTGTATCTTTTATCATCAGCCCTTTTAAGTCAACTGGTGAACTTAGGCACTCAATTGCTGAATTGTATAGGGAAGATTAGCCTTTTCAAAAAAGGAGGTTCTCAATTCAACTGTTCTTTGTGAAGTGAAAAAAAAATCTTTAGAATCGTTGTGATTTGAAACTTGACGAAACCAAAAAGCGACATTAAAAAGAGACAAGCATATATCATCTATAGGATTTAGCCTGAGTGAGAACAAGATGGTTTGTGATTGCGTTGATTAAGCGATAGCTTCACCAATTGTAACCCTATTTTAATGAATCATTTTTATTAAATAGTTCGCTTGACAGTTTTTACGTCCGACTATGAGGCACATCTCTAGAAACTAAAATTACCGCTACCATAAGCATAGCACATAACTGCGCACGCAAGTAAAATAAATTAAAATTTTATTATTGAAGGAAACTGCATTAGGTGACATTTTTGAAGTTAATATTAATCCAATTGTCATCAGAAATCCAGTGGTATTTTTTTAAATTATAAATTTAGTCGTATCTTGCAAACCCACGCAAGTTACGTTCTAGTGACCCGTCATCCGCACCATGCTACAAGACTACAGACTAGACCACTTTTTTATAGGATAGGGTGACAAATGAGCACACAGCCCACTTGGTGGTAACTGGTTGCGGCGGCCCATAGACATCTACATGTATCCTCGATTACAAAACAAAATGCAGATGCGTGTGCACCCGTGAAGACTAAGATGTAATGCCTCGTTTCCAGTAAAAAGGGTCTCCGGTTCTCTACACTCACCATACGAAACACAGCAGTATTAGGCTACTATTTCACGCTGAAATTCTGTGAGAGCGTTGAGCCGACCCAATCGTGCTACAACTATACTACTAATATAATATAATATAACTGCATCATGGCTATACCACATATAAAATACGTATAATAAAAAGGAATCTGACTATAAAAAACTACAAATAATAAAATTATTTCTACCGTCGGTCCTATATAGTCGGTGACTTTGATTCTTTGATAGACTATGATTGGTACCTATTTCAGAAGCTATAATGTGGAAATTATTTTATTATAATTCTGTCTTTAAAGTCAGTTTTTACTTTCTATTAAAAGCTTACTTTAACAAAAATGTCACAAATACCTTATATACCCTAATGCGATCTTCCTCGTTAGGGACTGCAGCAAATTCAGGAGCACTTAGGTCGAGTTTCTCTTTGACTTCACTCCAAGAAAGCTGGTGATCAATATTTGCGTCACTTAGTGCCCATTTAAACGCACACTCTATTTTCTTCTGTGCTTTTGACTCCTCTTTTAATTTCTCTCTGTTCCTTGCCTCTGCCTGCAAATGAAATGAATTTAAATTTTGAACAAAAAAATTGTCTGTCTGCCCGGTCCGATTTCGATTAGAAATACTTATCAGCCAGACTGTAAAACCATAAAATAAACAATAACCATGAGAAAAAAATATATAAAAAAAACTAATCAACACCAAACACATGGTACTGACGCGTCGATGACGAGAGCGATTTTTGTCTGAGCGACTCTTTAGGTTTTAAATCATAAATTGCTCTTATGACTCTTTTCTGTAAAACAAATATAATTTCAGTGCCAGTCGTGTGTCCCCATAGCAAAATACAATGCGACATTATGCTATGGAATTTGTTAAAGTAACACTTATCAATGGATGGACGATGTGTTCAAAGGTATAGAATTCTAAACCAAATGTAAACAATATCGGACAATTAATTAAATCAAGTTACTTTGCCGAAATTCATTATGATGATGTTTTTAATAAAAGAAAGAAAAGAAGAATAAGAAAAAATGTTTTATTTTTGCATGTGGACCACAGTAAATTATTTTTCACATCTCAAATGTGTTAGAAAAAATGATCAATCGAAAATAAGGCATAAAACAAAAAAATATCTAGGTGACTGAAATCAAATTAAAAACGCATATCTTAACAGGCCAATACACTTAACACTAAAGTAGGCGAAAAACACAAAATGTTAGCATGTTTGTTGAATCAAGTAATTTTGCACTATACCTTTTCTAACAGCGAGTTGTATGTGAGCTTAACATTGCCAGCATCCAACGACGCAGATTTGCTGTCTTCACACACGATAGTCGCGAACTCTTCAAAAGTAGTGTCGGGTTTCACTTCAAACTCCTTCTCCTTCAGTATTTCCTTTATCACCTTCTTTTCATCATGGAAACGCGCCTTTAAGTTCTCCACGTAGAACTTGAACAGATCTAATGGCGTTGATCCACTCTGACCTATACGCACGCAATCGAATATACTTTCAAATATTGATTTCAACAGTGATATCTTATCAGTTAACAAGTTCGAAAACCAAACAATAAAATTTTAATTTAAAGTTTGAAATATATATCGGCGCGAAGACGTTATACATTTTGCCTTTGTTGTCTGTCAATAAATTATTATTATTATTATTATATTTCAATTTCCAACACCACAAGAACAAAATTTCGATGGTTAAAAATTCCCTGAAATTTTAGCCGTCATATACAATTAAAATTTATAAAAACAATCAGATTTTAACCCATTCAGTGCTTTGCTCGCCCATGGGCGGGAAAAGCTTTTTTATTAACAATCCGAACCCGCCCATGGGCGGGCAGATTTCAAACCTAAGTAAGTATGCCAAATAACATGAAAAAATTATAAGATTTTGTTATCAAAACGGCCTGCAGATATCTTAGATTTTAGATAAGGACCATTCTGACCTGTCATGCCGACCCCGCCCATGGGCGGGCAGTACGCGTATTCAGAGTTAACAAACCTTTTGTCAAAATTTTAATGAAAAACTATAATTTTAGTAGAAATAATAACAAATAAAGTATATTTACATGTAGTGATAATAAAATATAACTTTATTGTTCCTTGCTTATTATTAAAACTATAAAACCATAACAATATACAAGTTGTTACAAAAAAGCGGGTAATCCATTTAGGGAGTGATTTTATTGCTCAAATGCAACAACTTTTTATATGGGATCTACATCGAAATCTCAAAATGGCTTCCCTATACTAAATCGCCGATCAGGCGAGACAAGTTTGTGTGGAGAAGTAATATTTTTTTGAGATTTCGATATTGGTCCCATATAAGAAGTTTTTGTTTTTGAGCAATAAAATCAAATCAAAAAATAGTCTACGAAAAAAAGCTTTCACTCGCATCTTGACGTTCGTGGTTTTCACAACTTGAGTTTTGCTCATTGTTTTGGCAGTTCGTTTGCTGTTTGACTTAGTGTATCGAGTTGAGACTATCTTCTCTGCCGAATTCCCACCAAAGTTAATGCAAAAGAGGTAAGACGTGGGAAAAAATTAAACATACAAAAAGGTTGACTACGCATGACTTGAAAAAAAAGGCCTAAAATGTATGCTTTTATATTTTCATTTTAGATTTCCTTGTACTAATATGAGCTTAAATCTATCTTGTACGCAGATTAGGATCATTTGCTTGGTCTTAATTGAATTAGCTGAAAGTTTTGCCTTACCTTCACACTCCATAAATAATTCGGTTAACAAGAACACAATTTTTTCTCAAACAACACAAACATGTATGCAAACACGCTCTACATAATGCATAGAACATGTAAATTAGACATTAACCCTATCGCTCGGCTACCAATCTAATCAGATCGTACAATACCTACCTTACGCCCGCTCTAGTACGGGGCTAATTAGATCAGATAATATCAGAAGTACTGCCTTATGAAAAAACTACTTTTTCCTTTAAAACAAAACCAAAGACAATATGCAATAGATAATAGTATCAAAGACAAAGATATGTTCTTTTATTTTAAACCATAACCTGGCAATGTTTCTTAGAAAAAAAAAAAAGAAATCACTCTAAACTTTCGGCGTTCCACGGGTCGTTTTGATGGAGGCGCTCCGTCTTTTTTATAGAATTTTATAATTGTGTCTAGACTAAAAACGAAAGTATTATACTTTTTATATTCCTTGTAATATAGTGAACACGTAGATATATAATTTGTGGTATAAAAAGTGAAAAGTAAATTGCCAAAAGTGCTTCAAAATCTGGAAGGCCCATTATGGCGGCTGGGTCATAAATGTGGTATTTTTCACATTCTCATTTATTTTTAGTGTAAAATGTAAGTAAAAATAGTTTTCTTACATATTTCAAATAACTTGACGTTGTATTTATTTCAAATTCACACAAAACTATTTTAGAAATATTGTTCTAAATGTCACACAGATAAAATATGATTATTTAATTTTTTTAATTTCTTTATATTTTAATATTTTGGTATGAGTAACGAATGGAAACACATAAAACATAAAAATATACATATTTCCAAACATTTTCATATAAATTTCTCTAAAAACAAAAGTGTAGAATTCAAGTTAGTAGTAATTTTGTCACTAAAATTGAAGTATATACCACTATACAGCTATACAGGGTAATTTACGTATTTTATTACAATTTCTAGCAACCAAAAATAATTTTATTCGATAGTTTATACATTCAACAAGAAATCCTGTAAGTTTTATCCATAAATATTGTCTCAAAGTGAAAATATAGCAAAATTTGCAATATAGCAAAAAAATTTGCTAATTTGCAAATTTTCCCGCCATTACGGTCCCGAGCGAACGGGAGTATAACATGTCGCGCGCTGTCAGAGCGAAGGGGTTAAAAAAATCTCATGTCGAAATCTAAGGCTTCTTGCCGAAACCGCCGATGGGCGAGTCAAGATACTTTATCGAGATGCCGGGCACGCCGATGGGCGGGCTGAATACTAGTATAAGACGGCATGGGGGTAATGTTGTAATTTCTTAGGAAGGCAGTGAATGGGTTAAACGCTCACGCTAGGACCGACTAGTGCCCGACAAGAGCATAATATCTTCAAGGATGGACGCAATTTTTTTCTAAAATTATCGGCGCTTGAAGGTTTTTCGCTTGCTAGATATTGAGTCAGGTAATTATATCGTACCTACATACCGCAATACAGAACGGTCTTCAATAAAATTGCTGAATTATTTTTAACATTGATGTTCTTAGACTTATCAGTAAGAACTTTAGGTGCGCTGAGGCCTTGGGAAACACCTGAGCTTATGCAAAATTTAAATCATCATTAGGTACTTCCAGCTTGAATTGTAACATTTTAACGTAAACTAGGTACATTAATCATATAATCTTACCTAGCATAGCAGAGAAACGAATGTCGGATGAGATCACTGGGTAAAGCTCTACCCACAAAGACATTGACGTTAACTTGCCTTCTTCATGGAGACTGTCCAATAATGCCTGAAAATAAACAACAACGAGATAAGAACTAACCAGTCAGGAGATCAATGATTTTCTACTACTAGACGTAAAGGTTTGATCTTTAATTATTCAGTGCTAAGAAAACCGAATAGATTAGAATCTTTTTTTAATATAGATTACAAGAATAATTACAGTCAGTTATAAATAAATGATCTTGCCTAAACATTATACATAATACTAGGAATAAATATACTATGGGGCCTTATAGCACTGTACTTCAATTATTTTTCGGAGTTTTGTTGCTTCCATGGGTTTTTAGCAGTAGTTGCTCCTTCCAGGTCGAAGGAAGGTTCAGTTCAAGATGGCCAAATAGATGAAAGAAACAGAGAATTTCACTTGGGCAACAGTAATAGTTTCACTAACTGCACTATTAATCCCTACAGTATATAAAAAAGAGCTATAATGGTTTAACAAGAATTGTGTCTCAGAGTTTGCTTCTGATTTAAAAACTTTTATTTCTCTAAATATTTCTTTTCATTAAACACTACCAACTTAGAATCCTGTTATATTAGAGTTCTGAAAATCGACGGCTCGGTTCTCAAATACCCTGTGTGAAATGTTGTTGGTTCTCACTTTAGATTTTTACGTGGTAGAGCCACGCTGCAACTGTATTACAGTTGTAGCACGAATGGGATAGAACAACGCTTTCATAGAATACCAGAGTAAAATAGCAGCTTAAGGCTGCGGTGTTTCGTAAGATAAGTGTTGAGAACCAGAGAACATTTTTACTGGAAATAAGGCATTTCATTTTAGTGCTCAGGGGTGGCAACACATCTGCATTTTGTTTCTTAATCAAGGATAGATGTAGATGTCTATGGGCCACATCACCCACTTTCTACCAGTGAACTGTGTGCTCGTTAGTCACTCTTATTCTACAAAAAAGATGGCCTGAGCTAGCATTTATGTAATACAAAGCCTACCTCCATTTCACTGCTGTAATATCACAATAAACTCACTCACTTCACTTTTTATATAACCCTTTTTACTGGAAACGAGGCATTCCATCTTAATCATCAGGGGTGACAATGCTTCCTGTGGTGGCCTGTTCCGAGGACCATGAACTTCCATGGTCCTCGGAACAGGCCACCACCGGGATCCTCAGTGATGGTAGGAGGGGTATCCATCAGCGTCGAGTCGACGCTGAAGTACCTAGGACTCGTCCTCGACGGCCGATGGAACTTCGTTGAGCACTTCCGACGTTTGGCTCCCCAAACTGGAACGGACCGGGGCTGCCTTCAGGCGGCTCCTGCCGAACCTGGGAGGGCCAAACGCCTCCTGCCGGAGGCTCTACGCGGGGATCGTGCGGTCCATGGCCCTTTACGGGGCCCCGGTGCGGGCGCGTGGTTTGGCGCGGCTTGCCGTCCACCACCTGAACGCGCCCCAAAGGGTGATAGCCGTGAAAATGGTTCGCGGCTACCGCACGATCTCCCGCGAGGCGGCGAGCCTCCTTGCCGGATTGCCGCCATGGGATCTGGAGGCGATAGTCCTCGCGCGCCTGCACGAATGGCGCGCGGAGGCACTATGCCGTGGGGAAACCCCGCTGCCGCGGCAAGTTGTCGCGCAGCGGACAGACTTCCGGCACGATCTCATGGCGACATGGAGACAGCGACTGTCGCAACCCCGTGCTGGGCACGCCACTATAGCGGCGATAAGACCCCTCTTTGAGGAGTGGCTTGAGAGACGCCACGGCATCCTCACCTTCCGCCTGACGCAGGTCCTCACCGGACACGGTGTGTTCGGAAGGTTCCTGCACCGAATCGGGCGGGAGGAAACGCCCGGGTGCTCCCACTGCGAGGATGGACCGGAGGACACGGTGGAACACACCGTGGAGGTGTGCCCTGCTTGGGCGGAGCACCGCCGTGTCCTCGTAGCGGCGACCTCTCGCGTCCGGCCCTGGTCGAAGCCATGGTCCGGAGCGAGACGGAATGGGATGCCGTCACCACCTTCTGCGAAGCAGTGATGCTAGCGAAGGAGGTGGCGGAGCGGGAGAAGGAGAGAGCAGCAGCTTTCCTCCCCGGCCGCCGCGGGAGACGCCCCGGGCGTCGGGGGCTACGTCGTGGCCCCCGGCCACCGTAAGCGCGGGCCTGTGGACGGCGAGCAATGGGTAGCTCGTCGTCCGTCCGTCTAATGGCGACAGGCCGTGTCGACGGCGCGTTTTGTTCCACGCGCGCCTCAAAGAGCTGTCAGCAGCGTGAAGGGGCCCGCAAGGGCCGACGCCTGCCGGGGCTGCGGGCTGTTCGAAAGAGATACCGCGGCTCCGGAAAGTAAGGGCACTGAAGGAACACGGATGGTTTTTAGTCAGTAAAAGTCTGACACTCTCTTACGCTCCACCCAGAGCGAAAGGCGTCATTAGATGATTTTCCATCCGCAAAAAAAAAAAGGGGGTGACAATGCATGCGCATTTTTATTCTTAATCGAGGATAGATGTAAACTGTGTGAGTCACCCTTTATTCTATACAAAATTGAGGTCATGAAGTATTTTGCTGTTAATTACTAGTTATGATATTGGGAACTGTCCCATAATCCAAACTGACCTAAAATACAGTAATATTCATTTAATAGTGTGATTGTTCCAAATTAAAAAAATACTACATACCAAAAAGTTGTCTCTGTTTTTTCTCTGCTGACGTTTGTTTCTTTTTTTGATCTGCTCTTTTTCCTGTAAATATTCAGCCTCCAAGTTTCTGATGTGCTGTTCAAAAACTGCAACAACAACATATAACATAATATATACATAATTTATAGAATCAGGCGTTACTTTGCGGAAATTAATTATAATAAAGATTATATCTAATTCGCAACCATCTGCTTAATTAAATACAATGATGATATTGTGCTGATTTGATGTTACATATAATAAAGATTAATATCTAATTCGCAACCATCCGCTTAATTAATACAAAGATGTGTCTTACCTGGATTGAAGAACACCTCCCGCCCTCCCTCAATTGCGTGCACTAATCCCGTCACGACTAGTCCCAGCACCACTACTCCCAACACCACTATTCCAGGAAAGACACACCATCGACGATAATACATCTTTTATAATTATTAATTATCTTTATAATTGTATTATCGTCGATGGTGTGTCTTTCCTGGAATAGTGGTGTCGGAAGTAGTGGAACCAGGAGTAGTGGTGTTGGGAGTAGTGATGCTGGGACTAGTCGTGACGGAATTAGTGCACGCAATTGAGGGCGGGCGGGAGGTGCTCTTCAATCCAGGTAAGACACATCATTGTATTAATTAAGCAGATGGTTTCGAATTAGATATTAATCTTTATTATAATATATACAACACCAAATCAGCACAACTGCCATTAGATTAGATATAGATCATTCTAATTTATGAGAAATTAACCCAACTATTTTCCAACAAGTAATTAATGCCACATTCCACATACCTCACAAAAATTTATGTTATTATTGTATTGTAAATAACGCGATTAACTAAGCGGGCGCGGTGGAAATGATAAGAATGCGATTTCAAATAAATATAAATTATGACGATTTCTGTAAAGGTTTCTTTTTGTTCCTTCCATTCCAAAAGATTCCAAAAGAAGATATACCACAGCGATTTTAGATTGACACAAATATCAACAAGTCTTTCACATACCTATAAGTGCATCTTCTTTATCCATTCCTAACAAACTAACATCATTCTTAAACGCTGAATTCTCCAAAAGCAACACTTGGGCTTCACTCCACGTGCTACTATATGTGATTTCGTTCATATTTTCCAGCACCTGTAATCAGATATTTTTCGACTTAAATTTATTATAAATTTAATTTATACAATTCTACTGTATTTGATTAAAAGTTTAGTTTACTTAAATGCTAATGATCTTTTTGCTAACGGCGATATCACAGGTGATAATGAAGGTTAGCGTCATGACAATTTTATTACTGCCTGGTTACTACAATGCAGGAATATTGCGTTATATCTGTTTTAAGTATTAAATTAGATTCGTACGGATTCGTACGGTCCCGTCGGAGTTAAATACAAAGTACATTTAAAAACTGCTCCTTTAATAAGCTACACGTGAGACGTCTTACTTGTTAAATATTTTGAGATGGTTCTATAAATTATTGATTCGTCAAAATGAACGTTCTTTATTTCCTTAACTGCCAATTACAGTATTAGTAATTTAAATAAACACAGGGTTATTTTGTGATATCAAATTTGTAGAGGCAGTTTAGAATAGACAATATAAGCGAATGATGAAAAAAAGTAACAAAAGAACTAAAACATTTTGTCCTTTTTATCTTTTATATTCAAAATGTGTGGAAATGTATTATTTAAACTGATTGTCTGTCTTTCTTTAAGTGATAAATATGTAGCGCTTACTATTATACTACGGACGATCATATAATGTAAAAGTGTAATGTAATAAAAATTCGGATGCAGTCGATTGCGTTCGGCGCTCGCGCTCATTTACAGATTTAGACATCTAATAGTTGTTTTGACTCGGTAAAAACAAGCGCGTCTCCCCGCCCTTTCGCCTTTCTGCCATTACACCGCTAGGTACGTTCGCCCGGCCGACAGTGACTCGCTAATTGTTGATCTGCCAAGTCGAGCAAAAAAGCGGCACGGCCGTACCATACTTTTCTCGAAGCAATTCAGGCCATTTTCGACCCCCTATGAATTCGTAGTGGATAAAACTAGAAGCCTGAATTTTTTGCATTAAGCAATCTAATTTGATATAATATGTATTACTTGTGAGATACATTGTGTTTTCATGCGATGGCTATGTCAATCTATATATTTAAAACATAAAAGATTTTTAACATTGATATGGTCACATAAAATATTGTTAGGTTAGCTAATTACGTAATAATTTAAAACAGAGGGACCCTTATGTTGGGACTGAATAAATTAACTGACTTGGTATTACATGGATCTCACAACTTTTTACGGTAGAAGAACTGAGTTGCGAGACGTGGTTTTTTTACAAGTTATGTTTTTGATGGCATTTTGTAGTTCAATATTTATGTTGAACTTAATTATTGAATTTGGCTAGTCTTTGAAAATACCCTGTATAGAGTTAGTATTTTAAATTGTATTGCCATAACAAAATTGAAGATTTTAATAGATGTTTAGGAGTGCAAATTTCACTAATAATAATTGGTAACGTGTATGAATACATGTTAGTCTGCGGTATCAGTATAAATACTTCGCGACTATGAATATTTTAATACGATTTAATTTATTTTCTACAAAATCTGTACTCAGCGGTCACAAAACGTGGACAGTCTCACATGTCCTCAGTACATGAGATATATACTACGTAATGGTAAATACATCCATAATTATTATTTTGTATAATGATTTACCATAACGCGAAAGGATACGAAAAATAAAAGTATGCTCTATGATCCGTACTAACACCAAACTTCACCCATCTGCTTACCAGATGAAAAGTATTTTTAATAATCATATGTGTTAAAAAATGCAACTGATTTATACAAAATGTATATATGTTAGTTTTTTAATAACTTTATCACAAACCGTTAAAACCGTTAATTATAAATTGTTGACATATGTATGGAAAAAATTAGAGAAACTCAAAAAAAAGGTTTAATTTATTCTTTTGTGATTATCATGCATAAGCCACAGATATTAATTAGTAAATGTCATTAAAAAAATAAAGATTTGGAATGTTTTTTTTGTTGATAGTCGACCGGAATAAATTCAAACTTGACTGCCAGAGGCTGCTTCTTGCCATATGCCATCGAGTAGCTCGAGTTAATTTCGCTCGCAGTCACGAAAGTTGGAGTGACGAAGCTTGGTGTCAAATTATATTCACAGATAAGTCCAAATTTTACCAGAAGCCTGATGAAGAAAGAATTAAAGTATGGAGACGCCCTCGAGAGAGGTACGCTTAATGCAACATCATTGAAAGAGGCATATGGTGGAGGGTCGTTCATGATATTGGGAGGTATTAGGATGGGGGCACCGCATCATTGAGAATGGGTTGTTACAGGAAGAATGGAACGTAATCTCTCAAGATTTCATTGATAACTTGATTAGAAGTATGCAAGGAGACTGGCAATTCAAAGAGCTAGAGGGGGCAACACTGTAGTACTGATTATAGCCCACGTTATAGCCTTTTCTAAGCATTTATGAAAAAATTAATAAAATGTTAGGTACAAAAATGTTTTATTCCTGGAAAATTGTACCGTTTACCACGTTTTTAACAAGTCACTTTCTTGTTTGGCTGTCGTACCGGGTTAAATTAAGAGATTGATTTGAAACTAACTTCCCGATGAGCTGGAAATTTGGAGTTTTGAATATAGCTCAAATTCTGATGACAAAGCAAGAATATGATTAAAAACGCGGTAATTTTTTTAAGCTTCACTTGTTTCTTAATTAGGATATTGTACATTTTTTGTAAATTCTTTTAAATACATAAATTCTTATTTTTATTTTTATATGAAGCCTTAATGCATATTGTATTAAAATTATTTTTAATGCATATAGTATGTTATGAAATTTATTTATTTTGTTATTTAATTATAAAAAGAAGGCATAAAAAATAATAACTCACTTGTGCCAACATTTTCATGTTCCTCTTTTTCAATGCCTTTGCTTCTTCTTTTTCACGTTTTGCAATAGTGTAAATACAGTCTGCAAATATATCTCTTCGGTCCGAATCTGGTACGCATCGCCATATCTACATAAAATGAAAGCAAGTATTGTTGATAAGTGTTTTAATAAATGGGGGAATATTATAACACTGAAATAAAAACAGTAGTCAATATTGCAGTGTTTAATATTCAATAAGGTGAGAAAAGCATTGTAGTTGATTACTGGATTTGTCTCCGCACTTACCTCATTCATGACATGGGAAGATAAGGTACGAAAGGATATTTATAAACGCTTGTACCCTTCATTTTCAACCTACTTGTAGAAGAGACTGCCGAACATATGGATAATAGTCAGCTGCTCTAAGGTTGCGTTGTCGATAAAAAGCCAGCAGCGAAGCGGGAGAAGCGGAAAGAAGACAATATGTTCCTTTGATATCACTAGATGGCTATATTTGGAGGTTAAATAGATGTCAATTAATTTCATGCACTTTTGATAAAATAAATGCGATTATCACCCCCCACCACCCTCCGCACGATGTAAAGTCGCGACTGGCCAACAATTTCATAATATCGATTATTATTCCATTGCTATCAATTAAACGAAACAATCGATTGATTTCAAATAATAATCACCTCTATAAGCGATGGGCGATTGGTATTTTAAATATGAATGAATTACCCACAAGTGAAATTCGTTGGTGATATCTTCACATTTTTCATCACCTGTGTAAGTTCACTGCCTGACATCGTCCTGTAGCAACGTATGAAATACTTAATTTGCTCTCACTTCACAAGACGAAATGGGGCGAAGGATTATTTTAAGTCACCACCCTACGTCAACAGGCCTTACAGTTGATTAAAGTTTAGTCAGAAATCAAGGAAAAATCTATAGCAATTGACAAATACACAGAAACCCTGCTAGGCAGTAATAAAAATTGGTTAGCGATACAGAGCTTTCGGTATTGTGTCCACCATGCCACAAGCCTTGCAATTACGAAAAATCCAATGCAATATTCTAGTTGTGAGTAAAAGCATGACACATTTTTATTTTTACTACTTGTGAATGCGCGCATTATAGGCGTGTAGATCTCCGCTACGATTTGAAGGTATATTCTAAGCACTGTAATGAAATAGACACTGTCTGTACGTCGACCAAGTGCCGTCGATGAAGCATTGGTGTACAGATAAATCTTGTTAGGTTTTAGCGACACAGCACAGTGTTATGATAATACTATCAAAAACACGGCTTGTAAAAAAACCAAGTCTCGCAACTCAGTTCTTCTATCGTAACATGTTGTGAGATCCATGTAAAACCAATCGGTTTGACTTGGGCTATCGCATGAAAACACAATGTATCTCACAAGTAATATATATTATATTAAATTCGATTGCCTAGTGCGATGCCAAGTCAATCTATTTATTTAAAACATAAAAGATTTATAATATTGATATGGTCACAATAACATGTTGTTATATTAGCTAATTATGTAATTACTTAAGACAGAAGGACCCTTAAGTAGGGACTGAATAAATTAACCGACTTGGTATTACATGGATCTCACATGTTACGATAGAAGAACTGAGTTGCGATACTTGGTTTTTTTACAAGCCGTGTTATGTTTTTTAACACTAATTATGTTTGAATCTTCTATGTCTGCTAGAAGTGCCTTAGAGTTTTGATGATCGGTCAGTCAGTGAGTGACAAAATTAAGAAACTGACTTATTATAATTCCTCAACTACTGGATCAAATTGAATGAAATTTGAAATATACCGTGTCTATACAATGCCTGCTTGGTTCAGGTTTCTGGTTCTATCCATAACGAAGTTATAGGGGATCGAAAATGGCCTGAATTGCTGCGAGAAAAGTATGGTACGGCCGAGCCGCTTTTTTGCTCCACTTGGGGGGGCACTGCAGTGCCCCCAGATATTAAATTGTTGTTTCAATTTATTTTAATAAATAAATAAAACAGCCTATTTTACTAATAATCAATGATTTTGAATGTAAGGCATGATATTGTACAGCACATATTCTACAAATATTTTAATATAGCACATGCAGATAGGCAAGACAAAGAGCCAATATAAATGTTGTAATATTTCTTACCTCCAGATTGCTAAACATTTCTTCACATTTGTAGTACTTTGTCAAAGATGTCACACGGTCGCAACTAAGCAAAAACTCCTCAAGATTTTCTCTGTTCTTCTTTGTTTTTAACCTGATTTAAAAATATTCATACATTTTAAAATATTTCTATTATCTAAATCAACATCATTATTAGCGATCTTCGCTTTGAAGTACTTGGAATATAAACATATAAAGGGCTATTTTTTCTGCGTGAGCGAGAGGTTGCGTCACTCTAGCGGAGCGTCACATCTATGGTGGCAAGGTGCCTCCCCCCTGGTTTATGCAGTATAAAGTTTACTATAGGAGTGCTTAGAATGCAATGTTTGTGGTTCTGTTATTTATTTTTTTATAGAAGAGGGGGCAAACGAGCATGCGGCTCAGCTGATGTTAAGTGACTACCGCCGCCCATGATCAACCGCAACACCAGGGGAATTGCAGGTGCGTTGCCGGCCCTTTAGAAAGGAGTAAGCTCTTTTCTTGAAGGTCCCCAGGTCGTATCGGTCCGGAAAAATCGCTGGTGGTAAACTATTCCACAGAGTACAGTGGTGGACCGCCAAGCATCCAGATGGTGTGGATGGTATCGGGACGTTTGCCGCGTAGTGCGTTCACGAAATTAGGCGGCTGAGATTAATCCGAACAATTCCTCAGAGCACTCTCCATGGTATATGCGAAAGAAAATGCAAAGAGATGCAACATCTCTTCGCAGTGCCAGTGAATCGAGCCGATCGGAAAGCACTCGGTCGTCGACGATTCGAGCCGCTCTGCGCTGGATGCGGTCAAGTGGAAGGAGCTGGTACTGGGGAGCCCCAGCCCAGAGATGGGAACAGTATTCCATGTGCGGCCGAACCTGCGCCTTGTAAAGTTGCAGGCGGTGTGCCGGCATGAAATACTGTCCCGCTCTGCTGAGCACGCCAAGCTTTTTAGAAGCCAATTTGGTCTTCTCTTCCAAGTGACCACGAAACTGCACGTCACTCGATATGTCGACGCCGAGGATTCCGATACTGGCTGAGGCAACAAGGGGAGTGCCTTGAAACTGAGGAGATACGACAAAGGGGTTATTTTTAGCGGTTAACGCGCAAATTTGTGTCTTCTGGGGGTTAAACTGGACTAGATTTAGTCGCTCCTAATCCGAGACTGTTCAGCAAAGACTCGACTTCAGACACAAGTTTGTCCCGGCACTCGGAGACGTTTTCCCGAGAAATATTGGCTCGGCCGGTGTAAAGAGCATCACCAGTGCTGTCATCTGCATAGCAATGAATGTTACGGGTTTGCAACATATCATTGATATGCAGAAGAAACAGCGTTGGCGATAGCACGCAGCCTTGTGGAACACCAGCATTAATAGGCTTGCAATCGGAGCTTGCACCGTCTACAACGACCTTGATGCTCCGGTCTGCAAGAAAGCTGGTGATCCAATCGCACAATTTCTCGGGAAGCCCATAGGAAGGGAGCTTCGAAAGAAGCGCTTTGTGCCAAACCCGATCGAAGGCCTTCGCAATGTCCAAACTAACGGCCAATGCCTCCCCCTTGAACTCTACTGTCTCCGCCCATCTGTGAGTTAGGTAGACCAGAAGATCAGCTGACCGACCACGGCGAAAACCGTATTGGCGGTCACTAATCAGCTGGTGATCCTCAAGGTACCTCATGAGCTGGCAGTTTACAATGAAGTCCATTGTTTTGGAGAACAAGGAGGTGTGGCGATAGGCCGGTAGTTGGACGGGTCTGAGCGGTCGCCTTTTTTAGGTATCGGGTGGACGAAAGCCGTCTTCCATAATTTTGGGATTACGCCTAAGAAGTAGGAGTTCCGGAAAAGACGCGTTAAAACCGGTGCCAACTCTGGAGCACACGTCCTCAGCACAATTGGGGAGATTCCGTCAGGCCCACTCGACTTGTGGATGTCCAGGGAGAGGAGTGCTTTGCGAACCGAGCGCTGTGTGAACTGCACTTCCGGCATGGAGCACTCACACCGCGGGATGGTCGGCGGCGTACTCCCCACGTCATCGAGGGTCGAGTTGGATGTAAAGAAAGAGCCTAGAAGATCGGCTTTCTCCTTTGCGGTATGGGCCAGTGAGTCGTCCTCCCTGTGCAGAGATGGAAGAGATGGCTGACAGAAATTCCCCTGGACAGCCTTGGCGAGAGACCAGAATGCACGGGTTCCAGAAGGAAGGCGAACTAGTTTCTCGCCAATTCTGCCTATGTGCTCTGACTTTGCCTTGGCAATGACTCTTTTGAAGGACCTAGAGGCGGAATTATACTTCTTTTTTAGAGCGCTGGTGTTTACATCCCGGGACGCTGATGCGTCAGCCCAGGCTTGGTAACACTCCTGCTTATAGCATGATGCTATTTTACAGGAGCGACCAAACCATGGCTGAGATTTGCCTCCAATGGGCACCACAGAGGAAGGAATAAAAAGTTCCATACCCTGAAGTACCACATCAGCGACAAAATACGCAACAACGTTGGGATCGTCCGGCGAGAAGCAAACCCGCCCCAAGGGGAGGATGCAAAGAAAGACCGCATCCCATCCCAATCGGCTGACCTATAGTGCCAAACACGGCGGCAGCCTGCAGAGTGCAACCGCGATTTCAGCGTGAGTGGCACCACACTCCGAACAAAACAATGATCCGAGGAGCCTAAAGGGGCGTCGACGGAATTCTGATATCCGTCCGGGTGAGAGGTCAGCAGAAGGTCCAACAGGGAAGGTGCATGATCCTCCACATCTGGAATCCGCGTAGGCGAAGTAACCAGTTGTGTCAGACCATATGCCAAGGCAAAATCATGAACAGATCTCCCCCGCATGATCGGTTAAACGTGAACCAAGCCATTCGGCGTGATGGGCGTTAAAGTCGCCGAGGATCACGATTTCTGCGGAGGGGATCTGCTGTAGCAACGAATCTGTAGCCATTTGGAAGTGGTCGAAGAGTCGGTCTGTTTCGGCATTACCGCTATGGGACCTATAGAGGCACCCGTAGACGCGCGGATGGTCTTCGCTGTCTACGCGTAGCCAAACGATGGACAGGTCTTCCTTCAAGTCTGCCGAGGCGTCGAGAACAGATGTCCTCTCTGACGTAAACGCAAACTCCAGCCCGAGGCACAAAGGAGTGTTCCAGTTTGTACCCCGGGTAGGAGATACGAGACATCAGCCGGAGAGGACACCTGCGTCTCGGTCAGAAAGAGCAGAGCCGGCCTCGCCGTCTCGAGATGGTAGTGGACGGCGTTTAGGTTAGAGTGAAGTCCCCTGATATTGCAGAAATTCACGGATAGCGTGGCAGGGGTCGCCTTGGTCTTGTTGCTCCGTTTGCCCCGAGCAGTTGTAGTCTTGAGCGGAATTTTGCCCCCCCCCCCCCCCCCCAGAATACGCGGGGCAGCCTGAGCACCCACGCTCAGAAGTGGAGAAACATGGTCGTGGATGCTCAGCGAGGGATTCTCCAGGGGTGCTGGTACCCTCCTGGTGTAGTCTATCATCATTTAATTCCACTACAATGTTGATGGGGGGGGGGGGAGATTTGGGCCTCCGGCCACCTGCACTCACCAGACGAAACGCGGAAGCAGAGCTTCCACTTCACGCCGGTATTCTGTGAGGTCGTGGTACCACCCCGGTTTGAGCCGGCCCATACGTGCAACAGCAAAGCTGCCGCGTGGCTCTACCACTGTAAAGTACAATATTTATAGTATATCTCTTAGTGCAGGCAAAGAAGATTGTGTTGCTGAGAAGCTGCTCTGTGTTACAATGAGATGGGTAGTATTGCTGTTCGTTCGCATACTTTGGTGTTATCATGTGACATCCCTCATGTTACACTACTGTGTAATTGTGACGGGTACATATTACGGTATGGTCGAACTGTAATTATCCCATACTGAATGTATAGTGTAGTACACTGATGTTGATAATGATTTATTTATTGTTGAATAAAACTATTATTTACGGATTTTATCGCGTTTAATTCAACTTTAATTTATTTTTATTATCCTGACGTTTCGGGTGCTTTACAGCACCAGTGGTCACGGGGGGGACTGAGATGTTTGACGTCCCAACGTCATAGTTAGTCCGGCTACCTTCAGTTTTTGAATATTAATTTTTGGTCCGATTTACGCAAAATGAGCTTATAGTATCATGAAGTAATAAATAAATTACTTCATGATACTATAAGTAATTTTTTACGTAAATTTAAGAAATCATTATGATTTATTGTGTAAGCAGGACAGTAAGTTGAACATTCACTCTCACACTATTATTATTTTTAACAATTATTACCCTTCTGATGTATTTCCGATATTTCCGACATATTTATATATTCCTAAGTATAATTAAATATGTTGGAAACAAAAGTATTCAAAATGGCGACCACTTCTTTCGTCACACATTGCGATTACAAAAATATTCGTGCCTTTACCTGGCATCACTTTTAACCGTTTCTCGTCGCTCACTCGGTATTTTAGTTGCTCATTTATTACTTGTATCACTTTCCTAACATTTTAAAACACATTAAATAATTTTGTTTTGTACTTATTGCAGCCCATTTCAATTTTTATAGGTTGAAATTAACATAAAATTTTGTAAATTTTTACCAAAAATAATAAAATGTTGCCCAAGTCAGTATTATAGAATGTTATCAGTAGGCAACAAATTTTTCCCATTGTTTGCAAAATTCCCATTATTAATTGTCATAATAAAACATTGTAGTGATATATGTGCAAAATTTAAGTAAAATAAAGTAGTGAGCAGCATCATTTTCATTTGACTTCTCTTTTATAAACATTTATTTCTTATAACAGGAAAGTATTTTTGTAATCCATTGTATTTAATATCGTTGAAAATCTTAAAAGTCTTTCAAGCCAATGTTTTATGAAAAACAAATGAAAAAAAAAATAATATAAATGAACGAAAATTGCTCACTTAATCTTATAATTTTGGTCTCATTCCTTACCTCTGCTCTTCTCTTTCATCCTTTAACTTTTGCGTTTTATATGCGTTGAATGCTTGTTTCTTTTCATTCAGTTTTTTGAAAGTCGCATAACGAGGGTCTTTTGAAATAATCTTAACGCATTGCTCCCAAGATGAATTTGAAGGCACATTCTAAAGACAATATTGTATGGCATTAATAATTAAGGTTTATTTAAGAACAAATTAAACCATTAACATAATTAACATTAATGCAGTAATATTTTTACTTAGAAGCCATACCTCTATAGCCATACCTCGCCATATTTCTGTTGTCATTTTTTGTCTCAAATTCAAAATATTTTAATAGTTTTTTATATAAAAAAAGTTTAAAAACCAGTGATTTAAAAGACATAATATGCTGTTTATTGCATGCAATTCAATTAATTGCAATTTTAAATTTTACCACACGCTTCAGGGTGAAAATTAAAATATTTCGAGGGCACTTGAAGTCAACAAACTGGGACAGTGCGACAAACTCGTCCATGCATAATACATATAATAAAATTTATGAATGTACATACCCTGTCCCTCAATAATTCTTTAAAAGCCTCAATTGCCTCTTTTTTATCCTTGTACTGTAATTCAGGCGTTGGTTCATTACTATCAGTGCTAGTTAAAGGAGGCGGTGCCGCAATTTCTTCTGGCTTTACTGTAATATAAAAAAACTTATTGAGCAGCGTGATAACGACTTATGTGAAACCATGGTGGTAATGGTAAACCTAAAATAATCTCCCTTATCCGTAAGTGCTGTACGAGACGACTCAGAGAAAATACAGATCTGTGGTAGTGGTGAGCTTCGATAGATGGCGAAATAACTATCTAATATTTATACCAGAGGTAAATTACTAAAATAGCGACTAAAAATAGTGTCAAGTTACTTGTGATGTGGCACTAAAATCGCCAATTCTAAAGTCAAATGTTCCGATTATAGTTTATGTTTAAGAGACTTAATTATATTATACAAAGAATAATATCTCCCTTGATAAGTATTTCTTATGTATCTTTCACCAGTATACCCTATTCTACATATAAAGTTCCGAAGATTCACTTATCTTGTTATAGTTTGTTACTAGTTGATTACTATTATGACTATTTTAAAATAGAATACAAATTAAACCAATATTAAAATTTTATCACGTTAAATTTTACTTTATTCCCGACGTTTCGTACAAACAGGTGATATGAAGACCGACGCTCCGAGAAGTCCGCAGTCTGTCAAAATATTCAGGTTCGTCCCAACTATTACATCAGATTCGATAGACCACAAATGCTTGCAAAAGAACCCAGATTCCTACCAAGAATGATTCGCGAAACTATTGAAATAAGTACGTTTGCTTGGAATTCCATAATTAACAAAATTAAATCAAAATCCCAGCATACTATTGTAAGACCTCAAGACCCTGTTGGCTCATTCTATGCAGATTGGATCATGAAGTAATATGTAAAAGTTGAAGGCAGCGATCATTAACTATGACATCCGAACATAATATATGCTTTAAGGCCGAATACGAAGAGAACTGGCGAAAATTAATGTATTTCTCTTGACTAGAACTTTGACCTGAAGTAATTCTAAGCTTTAAAACATTTTTGTAGGTTTGTTCGGGTCCTTCACAAGGTCACCATCATTTTAAAATTTTAAAATAAATAAATATACCAACAAATAAAAAAATGTTAAGAAATGATATATAAAATTATTGTTCTTCCAAAACTCTGTGAATTTTAATTTAGGAAAAATTCTTTTACGTAAAAATGTTTGTATTGTGATTCCGAAGGTACCTGCTATCTTTATTTTCGATACAAAATATTATTTATTAACATAATTCGTTTTAATTAAAAACACCAAATAATAATATCGTATAATTGCCAGATAAAAGTTTGCCGTAATAAATTACCAGGCGCTTCGACGTGTGACGTAAGGTAACAACAGTCGATGTGTCTGTGGCGAAAATCGTTAATTTATTGTTTTATAGTGTCTATAAATGTAAATATGGGTAGGAAAAGAAATAAATGTTACCTAAGTGGTAAAACAAAGAGAGTTTATCGCATGAACGCTGCTCGAATGTTGTATTTAGAGGTTAATAATAATAATACTTATATTTTTGTAAGGTAATTTTTTGTTTGAGGCTGCCTAATAGGTTGCATTTTTACTCATTTACATTAGCCAAACTGATCATTTATACTTTTCTAGTTTCAAGTGAGAAACACTAAAAATGTAAATATCAAGACCCAGTCGGAAAAGAATGTACAGAGTAGTGCAAGCACAGAGACCGCAAATAATGTCAGTCAATGTATTGTCCGAAAGCATGGGGTAAAAGTACATAATTAAGAAAAACCGAAATACTTCGGATGTGAAGTGATTGACCAGTCGGAGTAGTCTTGTGAGAATTTACATACACAGTAAAATATCCCCACTGTGGGGCAATCACAGACTTTTTAGTTTTTTTTTTTCTTTATTATTTATGCAATTTGCATTACGGCATCTTGTAAGACTCACAAGAACAAACATTTTCAGTTATATGAGGTTCTTTACGTACGATGCACCAAGAAAAAAAAATCGTTATCAATTCAATAACTTTTCGAACAATATTTTATAACGAATAAAGTACAGAATTTATAATCTATAGGAACTAATATTATAAATAAGAAAAATTTATTTAAGAAGTAAGCAATGCTCTCTGTGTTGTTCATTACTCTGCATCTGAGCTAGCTCCGTCAAATATAATCAAAGCCCGTACGGCTTTGATTATAGGTATTATACATGTCTATATAAACAAAGCGTAGGTACTGGCGGCGCGTGGTTTGCTGCGAAACGAGCAACACTTCGCATCGTATTCGGCCTTAAGGTAGAATTCGAAACTCCCACTTGTTAGAGCGATATAATGTACAGCACAAGCTAATAGCTTGCATCAGTTATTTGACGAGTTTTAATCAGTGTCGTGATTTTGTCTGTTATGGTAATTCTTTTATTTTAAACAAAGGTCCTTTTGCGAAGAGGTTGCCCGGTGTCATATTATGATAAGCAGTTTTGATGTTCTTCTGCATACTTCATCTATTTTAGTGTTATTAACATAAATTTGTTGCCAACAGCATAATGTGTTCGAAAGTATTATAAAATTATTTCGTTACTGATGAATATCCTTTATTTAATAATTACTTACTAACTTAAAGTAAAAAGAAATTATTAAATAGTACCAATTTAATTTAATAAAGATTTCTTATCTTACCGCGAATACTACACATTGAATAAAACTAACCAAAACATTGTACGGATTTCATCGCGTTTTATTCAACTTTTCGATTCCTGACGTTTCGGGTCCTTTACAGCACCCATGGTCACGGGGAACTTAAGTGATTACTTAGTTGTATTTTATTTTCTACCCACATTCGTAACAATGTAGTAAATTCATAACAACGTGGAACATATGGATGACTTTACAGTAGTCACCCAGAGAGATAGGCAGAGACTATGGACTTCCATTTGGCATCCATCCATATAGTTACGCATACACGCATGAGTGTGTATAATGATAGCAATTTTACAAAGTTGTGTAAGCATGTCATGCATTTACAAAAAATTGTATTTTAATACATCACTGAAGAATATTACTTTTATTTTCAATGTTTACAACATTGTAAGATTTAGGTAGTGTGTATTGGTTTGTATTATTTTAAATCCAAATAAATTATACTGTATTATTGTGCTGAAACAGGTCTGCTAAATATTTTTCACTGTTATATCTGGGCACATCCTGTTCGGAACATGGTAATGCAAACCAATTTTGTTTCGTCGAAATTTTTGTACTTATGAAACTGATTTAATCTTAAATAGCTTTCTCTTATATAATTTGGTAATTGGTTACAAAATATCAATGATCTTCTTAATTTGAAATTAGTTGCAGATTAAAAAACTCAGTTTTTCACTTCATAAAAAGGAATGGAAAAAATCAGAAAATTTCTTACTTTCTTCTGGAATAGGAATGTTATTAGCCAAATTAGGGTCAATGGCAGCTAAGGTTTTCGCCATAGCTTCATCTAAAGCAGAGCTGCCTGATGTTGGAGCAGTAGCTGGAGATGCTGGAAGAGGGACTTCACCAGGAGGTACGTCTGCATTTAATACTGTCCTGAAAAATATGGCAATGGAAAAGAATTAACAAAATATCTCTAATTAAGTAGTACATTCTTTTATATAATAATAATAATGTCCTCCAGACCGAATTTCGGCCACGGCGGCCTGCCTCAACGGAGGCAAGCCATCGGCGCAGGACAGGATTATAGTGCCCAAGTGTATGCCGCAAGCACAGGTGCACTCTCTATTCCCTCACTCTCATAATCCAATGGGACAGTAAGCCGACACGACCGGAGAGAGATCAGGCGCAGGACCAACGGCTTTACGCGCTTTCCGAGGCACGGGGGTGAGACACCGCCAACTTCCTGACTCCGGGCAGCAACTGAGAATTTCTTGACCGGAAAATATCAATAATTGATTTTTTGGCCCGACCCGGGATTCGAACCCAGGACCTCATGATCAGCAGTCGCACTACTACAACCACTAGACCAACGAGGCGAGTCTTTTATATATGACAATATAGTATAACTATAAAAATATATATAAAAACGCCTAAAATGGCTCCGTGGCGAATGGCTTATCATTGAGTTGCGGCGCTGAGGGCAGGGGTTTCCAATCCTGGAACATGATAGGGTGCCAAACGAGCGCGCAGTCCACCTGATGGTAAGTGGTTGCTGTGGCCCATAGACATCTATCTTCAATTACGGATCAAAATTCAGATGCGTTGTCACCTGTGAGGACTAAGATGGAATGCTTTGTTTCCAGTAAAAAGCATCTCTGGTTCTCTATATTTACCATGCAAAACACATTAAGCTGGTAATCTGTGAGAGCATGGTCCTACTCAGTCAAGCCGATCCATTCATGCTACAACTATACTACTAATATAACTGCAGCATGGCTCTACCACATATTTAATTTAAAAAGACGAAAAGCGTATTTAAAAAAAAGAAAATAACGAAACAAAAAAATAACAGAAAACTCGTGCTCCTCGTGTTTTTTTGGCTGTTTAGATATAATTTTTTTTATTTATTGAATATTCAATCACAGCAGTCACTTATAAAATTCAACTAGATTTAAAAATTATAATAGCAGATTTATATATAAAAATTTTTCATATCTTTTTGCATATGGTAAGTTATAAGGGAACAAGGGAAATAAACCTTTTATTTGTTGTCATGGGATGAGGATGTAACAGAATCCAGAGTAATTTTTAAGGCCATTGATCAGATATTATTTTAAGCTTAAGTTGAAATATATACATAGTGCATTGGGGTAAGATCGGTGATGGGGTAAGGCCGTAAAATTCAAATTTCCGGTGAATTATGCTACATTTTTGAAAGCTAGAAATATTGTACAAGACGCTATTTTATTCTGCCCCGACCCCAAGTTTCAGCCAGTCGCTCCGAAAAGTAGGGCGTGTGCTGCGCAGTATTTTATAAAACAAGGTAATTTTTGTATTTTTTTCGTCCGTCCGGTCTTTCCCTATCACTTTTATTTGCGATTTTTAGCGATGTCCGGTCTTACCCCTTGATGGCCATCATCATCATCATGCATATAAAAAATTATGCCTTGTCTTCGCACTCGTTTTAGGCAGAAACTGTTGAGTTTTGAAAAATAAAAGCTTCTTATAGTTAAGTTACGTGTAACCATTAACGATTTGCGCCATGTTTCAGAAATCTGACATTTATGGATATTGAGAAAATAGTTTTTGCCCGACTCTTTTAACTAGTCGAAAATCGTCCAGTATTACCCCAATGCACCTTTATATAAATAATTATATACCGTTATAGCATTGAAAATACAAGTAAAGATTCTTGTTCTATTCGGCTTCTATATGAAAATATTCCAAATTGCATGTAATTTATAGGCAACAACGTTTTTCCTGCTGATCGAACCTAATGAATGTGTGCGTTCGCAGTAAATCAGTTAAAATAATGCATTACAGCACACTTTGATTGTAAAAGATTAAAGGATGGTGAGTTTTTTTAATTAATTTTTTTTCACCATTTTCCTACATTACTTATTCTGAACTTTCAAAATCTGCAAATTTGGCTACTCTTCCTAATCATAGGGTTGGCAGTGAGCAGTGAATTATTCACAGACTGGTGATAATATAGCTTTAAGTGGTAAAGTAAAAAAAAAAAATATTACTGTGCAGCTTCTTCTGCAGCAATCTTATCCTTTATCTCTTGCAGTTCTTTAGGAATAACCCAACTAGATTCCTTAGTCTCTATATTATGATAATACACTCTTCCTGCATCTGTTGTGTACTCTTTCCAAACACAAGATGACAAAAGCTTCTGTAAATGAGAAAAAAGAATAGAAATATTTGTCAATGTACTTAATAAATCTACATAAGCCAAAACAGAATTAAGTTTAAGTAGAAAGTGTTAACAATTTCAAAGCACCTCAAACTTTTATCTATCCATTCATCCATCCATAACACCTTATAAAAATCCACTGCTGAACAAAGGCTCCCCTTAGATTGCCTCATATTTTTCAACAATACTTCAAATAGGAGGTTCTCAATTCAACTGTATTTTTTATAGACAAAGGAGCACACAGTCCACCTGATGGTAAGTGGATGCTATGTCCCTTAGACACCACACATATCATCGATTAAGAATCAAAACGCAGATGTGTTGTCACACCTGAGGACTAAGATGGAATGTCTTGTTTCCTGTAAAGAAGGGTCTCCGACCTCAGAACTTTTTCTAGGTGAACCGATTTTGATGATTTCTTTTTTATTTGGAAACTGGTGCTTCTCATGTGGTCCCATAAAAATTTGATAAGATCTGACCAGTAGTTTTTGAGCTATTCTTAATAATGCGTATTTAATTGACTTCAACGAGATTGATGATCTTCTCATTTTATTTATATTGAACTCAGTTCTACAACATTTTTAATTTTACTACTTTTGTTTTGCCGTTATTTAAACTCTTAACAGACGTGTCAACTGCAGTTGCCAAGTTTGTATAATTTTGAGTTGTTATCAGGAAGATGCTGCTGCCCATCTCCTGTTTCAGTTTCTCTGTCATCATTTACGACACCCAATATGGGGTTGTGGATATTTTTACATCGTCAATGCACGGTAATCTCATTTCACCTTCATCTTATTTACTTAATACTTAGCGAAAGCCTAAGTGCAAATATGTATATTTGTTTAAGTTTTTTTCAAGTTGCCTTGATTTTGGGGTTTAATTTCATAGGGTAAATTGAAAATACAGAAAGAAAATCAAACAAAATCAGCGTAATAGTCTATGTTCTCTCCCAGACGTCAAACTTCACTCAGTCTCACTCTGGAACAGATCCAGTGCTAAGATCAGTCCAGCCAGGCTTTCATTGGTTCTTAGAGAGAGAGTTATGTTGCAATGTTTATTATACCATCATTTTGACAAGGTGTTTTAAGAGTGCTATTGTGCCTCAAGTTCAAGTGAGTAAGTTGAAGGGTAGTGATCTTCATCTTGCCAAATTATCAACTGTAATGGTGTGCAATTTACAAAATTTGGTTTGGTTTAAGTTGTGTTATTCTTTTTTGTTTTGATTCCAGCTGTTGATGGTACTTATAAGTTTTTTTGTAGTCTCTGACAGTAAAGCTGACCTTCACTCAACATTGTAATTAAATATAATGAGTTTTATAATTCATTTTTCTGTGCTTTTGGTATTGAATCATTCACTGTGTTAACTTTATTTTGTGTTGATAAGTTAGGTTAACTAGATTTTTCTCCTTTCCTTTTTTATTTTTGGTTTTTAACTATTTATTTGACATAGTTAAAAAAATCTCCTTTTCCTCTTCACCTAGTGACTATATTTGCTTTTGTTTTTCTAGTACCTCTTTAAAGTAGTCTTCTTCAATTTTCCTAATAAAAGTTTAGATTTATTATAGAGTATAATATTTATCCATTAAAATGCAATAGAGACTACAACCGGGCGGCTTTATCACTAGGGTTATGAAATATTTTTCAATAAATGTTCTCCAATTTGAATGTGCAGACTTCTTGACCTAAAAAGCCAATATCTTCCCGACGAAATCTTTTTTAAGACCTCTCCGCCTCTCGTAACTTCTCCTTGTCACTGTCCTCATTTTCAAATTAAATATTCTTTTATGCGAGCATATGACAACTGTAGGGAACCACGTAACGATAAGAAGGGGGATGTTCCAGGGCGATTGTTTGAGTGCAATTTGGTTTTGCCTCTCTCTGACCACTCTTAGTACCTACAGGAGGGCTCTGGATGGGGATTTTAGCTTCGGAAAGAAGGTACAGTAGTGACCCACCTTTTCTATATGGACTATCTCTAATTATTCGCCTCCAGTCTCTCCCATCTTATCAAATTGCTAAACATATAATTATTGATATGATTGCCTGTAAATAATTACATAAATATAATATTTTTATATTTTATGCTAACTTACCTCAGCAGGAGTTTTTAAATCATCAGGCTTTTCCCATAAACTCTGTTTTGTGACAGAGTTGTAATAATAAGTGCGGCCATCTGGTGCTTTATGTTCTGACCATGGACTGCTTTGGTTTACAGTTGGTGTAACCTCTGGGGCTGGTGCTACAAGGTCCTACAGAAATTTATTCTTTGATATATTGTTTTAATAAAACACAAAAAATTAAAGAATTTAAGAACAAAGTATAATTTCACAAAAATTACCGCTTTAAAGGGTGGAAACCCAGGAGGAGGCATAGAAAATGGAGGTATGATCGGAGGAAAACCCATAGGTGGCTGCAAGCCTGGCATGTTCCCAGGCATTCCAGGAATAGGAGGCATTGCCACTGCTGGAGGTATTGGTGGTGGTATGCCACTTAACATTGGAGGTGGCAACAACGGTGTAGCACCTATAAGTCCTGGAGAACTAGTACCAGCGGCCGGCGGCTCCTAAAAGTGGTATTAGACTATTTAAATGAATTAATGGTAATTTTACGTATAACTGTTATGTGTGTTATATATATATATATATATATATATATATATATATATATATACAAGTAATTTATATATATTTACGATTATTAATTTATAAATAAAGTAAAATGTAACATATCCACAGATATTTACCATTTCAAAAGACTTTTCTGAGAGGTGTTGGCAATGAAAACATTTCAATTTCCTATATATAAAAAAAAAGTACTCTGTGATTTCAATAAAATTAGAAACAGGGTTATGTTATGGGTATTGATGTTTTTTTTATTAAACTGGTTTTATTGCTCTGGGTTCTAGCTTTTCTGAGCCTGATTTTATTGATTGTATGTACGATATATTACTTTCCTCTATGGTCTATAAAGGGATGTTCACGTAACATCGATATATCGATGTTTTAACAAATAATTATTGTGTTCAATATATCGATATATTTACATATTAATAGAAACATCGATTTTTTTTATTTTTTTTTGAATCTATTAATAAGGTTATTATATAAAGGGAACCACAGACTACCTTTCAGGCTGGTAGGCTGCTTCGCAGACAGGCAACATCAATCACAGAACGCTGTTTCTACCCCTACCCCCTACTTCTGTCCCTAAGCCCTGATTCTGGGTGGTGTAATAAGAGAAAGGGAGTAAGTGTCCCTAATTAGGGCATCAAAGTAGACCCGGTCTGCAGTGCTCTTGCCACCGTGAGTAGGTGAGAATTGGGGCTTCTGCGTCACTTGCTCTCGCTTCGCTCAAGCTACATGCCGCTGAAGGCCCCAATTCTCTCCATTAGAGGTCTAAATTTTTAAATCTAATTCTCGAACCGCTTTTTTATGTTTATATATTTCTAATACCGTTTCATTCGGAATCTTAAATACAAATGGTTCAATAATATAACAACAAAATATACTAACCTATTTCATCGTTAAAAATGCAAGGTAGTACAAAAAAAAACAGTTACTTTAATAATAAGTACTAATCGTTAGCGGTCTGAAACTATATTTTTTCTTCTTCTCGAACACAAAGGTAGTTTAAATTAAAGGATGAAGTGTTTATTTACATATATTTTATAGGAAATCAAACTATCATTTTGTTTTCAAAACACCATTTCTTAATACATAAAACATTTTTTAACGCACATATTTTCTAATGAGTAAAACAGTTATACAGTAAAGTATCTTTAAAATAAAGTTCACAAAGAGTATTAAAATTGGGAGCTCTTAAGCAACTTCTATCTACGATAGTATTATTTTCATCAAAAATATCTTGCACCCATTTAATTTTTTCACATCCTTTTAAAAAAATCTTTTTATCTTTCAAATATGTCTATAATTCTGTGAAACTCTCTATAATCAACAAAGCCCTCACTCCATCGATACCCTCTGTGCTTTTCAATCCAGCCAATTTGTTTTTTCTCTTCAAGAGATAGTGAAGTGAATGGGTAAGGAGGTGTAATTAAGAATATATTGGTGTACTCAAAAGCAAACTTCTTTACTATAAATTCATTTTTGCTATTTTTGAAGCCTTGAAGATCGACGAATATTGTATTGCTATTCATGATATTTTCTTAACGATATTACTCAGTGGTTTGTATTCGAATATACAGTCGTTTAATATCAAGTAATAAGCGGTTGTCTGATCCAGTATTTCTTGGTCGGTTTCGATTTCAATTTTCACATCGATCGAACCTTTTAAAGTTTCGTGTTATCTTGAACAATCAATTACAAATAATGGAGCCACGTCTCTGAACTCCTTTAAACCCATCAACGGCTCTGACCGGCGTCCATGATACGACTGTTGCAATCTCGCATACTGATCGTATAATAAAGTAAACTTATCTTCTGAAAAACTGACATTCAGCCCCTCATAAGGATAATATGATGAATTTAAAAAGATTCTTACATCTCGTACGTGACAATGATCAAACTCTGCCATTGATAATTTCGCGTTATGTTTGCGGTTGGTTTGTAAGCCAATAACCACAAATCTTGGTTTCTCTATTTGCGATGAAGTTTTTATAGACCAAGTATGTTTACGTGTTTTGGGTAGCAATGTATACTCATATAAGTCCCAGGAACGGAATGCCAATGGAATAGCTCTATCTTTCTCTAAATGTTTTAATAGGCTGATTCTTTCACGATCTGATACTTTGATATGTGGAACTCGCCAAACAATTTTATTTATTATAATATCTTCAACAACTTCACCTGTATTTAACTTGATCGCATTAAGAATTGTATTGCTTTGTAATAATACTAACTCATGTTTACAATTAATTATATTTTTTTCATAATCTTCTGCAAATCGTAATATCTTGTTCAATGGTATAGACGCGGAAAACGCTTCACCAATATTATTGCTTGTTCCGCCAGTTGACCAGCCCCAAACTCGAGCACATTTGGATTCATTTTCATTTAAGGTTAGGTAAGATTTTATTGTAGCAGTGACACCAGCATTCTTAATTTTATCTATTTCTACTCCATTAAGTTCATATCGTGTCTTGAAAAAGAAATAGCATAGGTTTATTGACAAATTGTACGTTTGATACCCTTTCTTTCGTGGTGCTCTTGTAAACGTTCACCTTTCCCTCGATATATAAACTACTGAGTGAAGGTAGTACGTAAGACCTGTAGTCTTGCTGATTAGGAATACGTATTTCGTCATTCTTGTTAAAACTAGTTACATATGATTTGTATGAATGATATTCAAAACTTTCAATGCTGTCATCGTATGATCTTTGTTGAGATACGTTTAAAATATTCATGTTATCAAGCCAACTAGCTTAAGAAATTCTTTGTTAGACTTGGTAAGCTTCTTTTTTAGCTGAAGAGGTGTGCCTTTATGAGATGTTCTTTTAAAACTGGCTTGGATACACGAAGTACACGGGCTTTTATTGAAATTTATCATATTTTTTTTTTTGGAAATGTAAATACAGTTGTACTTCTTCACCTCGTAAATTTATCTGTTTATTCTCAGCGTTCAATAATTTTATATTGATAGCACTTATGGAACTTTGGTTAACAGGAAAATAAATCAAGTTTCTAGGCATTTCAATTATTCGATAGCCAGGTGGTACATTAGGTGCAAATTCAGAAATTATATGGCTTGCTTTCCCGTTGACAAATGAACCACTAACTACATCGCATTCAATCCGCACGATGGTTGTCGATAGAATACTGACAGGATACTTTGATTCAGTATTTATATTTACTTTTATTGTTTCCATACCAAAGCCTAAAATTTTACCCAGTGATTCGCTTCTATTAAAGTGCACATCTTCAAAGCAAAAAATATTTGTTTTCAATGTATTATTGCTACAAGTTACTTTTAGTACAGTGTTTTTAATATTAGTTTTTAGATAATCACAAATATCTTAAAGCTCGTAAGACCCTTCAGGAATTTCGATCATTAATTTTTCACCATAATAAAATTTACTGCTTCTTTCATCTATATTGGGAATAGAATTGAAAGTTGAAAAATACAAAAGGCCACATTCGTAGCCTCCTCGTATTTCTATTTTCGGTGAATAGTTCGTTGATAAAGAGGCTCCTCTCCCAGTTATAGATACAGTGAAAGACATTTTTATACTGATACGTTTATTTACTTCATACACTATATAAATGCTTTTTCCAGTAATCCCTCAAAAATTTTAGACAAAGATGTCCACAGTTTGTAGCACCAAACGCTTGATGTCGCGTATAATTATAGTTAATAGGTAAGTTATGCATATATTTAACTAATTCTAACGGGGGCTTTAAATTACCAAAACTATCATAATATTCTACGTATTTATTGTGCTTTACAAAGGCTACCCAATGCGTTCCAGGATTTTTGTAGCTATCCAAATTCAGTATTCCACGTTCTATCTTTCTCGGTTTCAAAGGTAATTTATTATTCATGAAAACGCCACGAAAGTATGGAATGTCACTTGCATGTTCTAATATGTCGAGGTTAGTGAGCGCCCTGGGTAGCCGTCTAATTAGTTTTTTGAGGTGTTAAGATATAAACCAGCTCCTTGTTTATGAGGTTTAATGTATAATCCTTTTCCTAGAGCAACGGCTTCCATCATTCTGTTGTCTTTCAGATTCCTGAAGACTCTTTTGTGCTGCTTTTGAATCATTAACAGCTTTTGCTATACCCGCTGCTCCACCAGCTAATGATCCTAAAGCTAACAATCCCGCAAATATGGGAATAAGGGGTAAAAGTCCTCCAGACTTTGGAAGAGGAATACAACGGGGTAAACTTATTCCTTTTTTTATTACTAAATATTTTCTTAGCAGCTGCATAGGCATATTTTATAGCTGTGTGACTGTCTTTGGATTTTAGTTTTTTCAACTGAGACTGTATTTTTTTATCCTCTTCTTAAATGCTTTTATACCGCTCCCCGCCCGGATTTTCGCTTTCATCGCATTTTTGACTATCCATGAGGCAATTTTTCTCCTTTCCTAGCATCTTCTGATTTCAACCTCCTCTTAGCCATTTTCAAAAGTTCTAAATCCACTTATTGTCGAGCGCCCGAATCTTTGTTAGTGTAAGCAATATGCATGCACGCTTCATCCAATTTGTTTATCCCAAGATCGCCTTTGAGTAACCGTTTTTGAAGTTTCGTTCCGGGACCACTAAATTGATAGCCAGGTAAATGTAACTCAAACGGTAAATTGTCTATTACTTTATTAATTATACCACTGCCTTCCTTCATCGATAAGTATAAAATGATATCATTAAGTAATAATACGTTATTTATATACCTACACCACTAATTCACTTTTATCCACCCAACTGTTTTCGTCATCACTCAAACCTAACCATTTTACTAAAAGCTTATTTCCTTTTCTTTTAATGACTTTTTCAATAAGATAAAGGTCTGGAAATTTAGTTTTTTGTAGTCCGTAACCGTAAAAAGAGCCTAGAATTTTTTGATTGTGTTTGTCTTCTATTTGATAGTTGACTTTAACGATACGAAATATTTCTGTAGACCAATTAGGAGTATAACCTTTATAAAAATCTCCTTTGTACGAGGGTGGATTGAAAAGTACTCGGCCTAACACAGATCCATTCAATTCTAAAAATCAAATCTACCCACATTATTTAGTTCAGTTCAGACTAGTTCATTGTGTGAAGTTCGAAACGTGTGCGATAATTAGTTGT